TGTGATATAGCTGCAAAATGAAAATAAAAACAAATGCAATCTTAAGATTGTAGTATCAACAGAAACATGACAACATTAATAGAATTCCTCCCATCTATTCAATATTGGCATCTAAAATATTGTGTCCCATTCTGAGTACTCCATATATTGACAACCTAAAGGATGTCCAGAGGAGACAAACTAAGTCTGGAAAAACATATAAGGAAGGTGCTGGACATGTTTAGCCTGGAGAAGAAAAGAGACCCATGATTGTCATACTGAAGTTTCTGAATAGCTGTCACATAGAAGGCAGGGCAGAATTGTTGTTCCAGGATGCAAAATGAAAGATAAAGGATTTATATGACAGGTAGATTTAAACTGAATAAATGTCCTAATCTTAAAAGCTGTTCAGTAATGGAACAGCCTGCCTCTCTTTGCTAGGGTTTAAACAAAAGTTGGGTGGCCATAAAGTAGCAGTCTGTTGCAATGGGCAGTTGGTTGGATGAAATGAAATGATCTCCAAGTTCCTTTTCAAGTTTAAGCACTATGATTCTAAGCAGCTCCTGAAAAAGATATGTGACTTTTTAAAGAAACGGCTTCTTTGTATTAATCAAAACAGATGAAGATTCTGATCACGTGAAACCATAAAGCCAAATTTGCTTCTTTGTGATCCATGATACAATTTGTAAAATGAAAAGATTAGCCATGTTGAGGAACATAAATCATATAGTGTTTATAGTCCCAAGTAGACTTCAAAGTCTGGAGAGGGTGAACCTCTAAAACATTATGGTATCCTTCGTGTGCAGCAACATTTAGCTGTCCTTTAAGACTTATTTGAGTACCATTTTCCAGAAATAAACAATTTACATTTTTTTTGTTTCTTGTACAAGAAATGACAAATTAAGTCCAAAATTTAAAAAAAAAAAAGTCTAACCAAACCTCTAATATTCAACACTTGCATTTTTTTTCTTTTGAAAAAAGATTAACTCAGACTAATTTCTATCACAGTCATGCAACAGCCCACAGGTCTTATGGATCCAGAATTATCTCAGGACTCCACAGATTTTTTTTAGTTTGTTTTATTTTATTGTCTTCTCTTCTTCCTCCTCCTTAATTAAAGAAATAATTAAAAATAAAAATTACAAAGTAATTTGAGATGTATATTCAAAGGATTGTTCTATTGGTGAGGAATGTTAATATGTTTTTTTTCCATTTGGTATTTTTCACTATTAGTGTAAAAACCACATTTGATATTGTTTCAACTCCTCCAGTTAATTGTACAGTTGCCCCATTGAGGCGTAAAAAGTAGATTATAACATTTTGTGTGCATATACAAACACACGCACACACACACACACGCACACAAATATCACATCTCTGTCTTCCACTTATTTGGGTAGGATCAGGCTTGATATGTTTTGTAATACCTTCTCTTTCAACATTAGGTAGGCTGAGAGAGCAGCTTAATTTATTGGTACTTGATAGGCAGATAGGTGAAGACTGAAAATTGGGTGGATTTGGTCACCTGAGTTGAATTAGGGCAGCGACTTCAATACACTGGTAAATTTAAAATAATAGTAAAAAGCTTTACATACAGAATGGAACTGAATGTCTTAATGCAAAGAGTGGAATATTTGATGGAATGATGAAGAAATAAATGACAGAAGGGAAGGAAAAAGGAAACAGAAGTCATGAAGAATCCCAATGAAAGCATCATCACCACTTTGGTTGTTAACTGAATGGTCATAAATCATTTTGACTACCTGTATAAAGACTTTGCTTTTTAACTGAGGATACCTTCTAAATCAGGGGTGTCAAACTGCCGGCCCACAGGCCGGACGCATCATCCGGAAGCTGCGCCCACCCCATTGCCGGCAATGGCAAAACTGTCCCGATACATTGCGTGACGTCACGTGATGTCACGAGTTTGACATGTCTGTTCTAAACGAACTGTGCCAAGATAAGACAAAGGAGCACACATTCCATTCTAAAACATTACAAGATACTTTGGAAATCTCCATGGTAGCCATAAAGGAAGCCTTGCCTTTAATCATATGGCAAGTAACCAAGACTCTCTGCTCAGTTTTTACAGACTTTCCATTGTTTTCCAATGTTGGCACTTGTTTCCTCTGGTGATTGCTTGCTAACCAACAACAACCCCAGAATCATCTAATGCTCAGAATCAGGGTAGTAAGGAATTAGAATTTTTGGGTTGCAAGAAATAGGAGTAAATAGAAAGTAGGTGTCCAGTTAGGAGAGGGGGGAGGGGGCAGTGACCTTTCTGGTACTTTTCTGCTAATCTAGGCACTAACATTAAATGCAAGCAGACAATCCTTTGCTGTTCCTATGGAGATTATTATTTATCCACTGCCTAAAGAAACAGGGTGGCAAGGTAACCAAAGCAAGTTATAATAAACTAGAGTAAGAATATTGTGTACCTGGTCATAGATCGCTTAAAGTTTCCAACAAGGGAACAACCATCCAAACACTTTCCTGAGAGATCATAACTGATCACTGATATCAGCACACAAAACAGATCCTGAATGGTTGGGCTTCCATGCAATTAAAGAGCCACATTTTCTCTTAACTTTCTCTTACCTGGGCCAATCTATCAATCTAGCTGCTATCATGTCTATTTCTTACAGAGTATTTTGTTGGGCACAAACAGGACTTAATTGCAGACTCAGTTTTGGTTGCCTAGCCATTATTTCTTGCATTAAAGCATGGTTGCCCAACTTTTTGGCTTGCCTGGGCCATCACTGAGTGAAGTGGAATTGTCTTGGGCTGCATATTAAATATGTAATACCGTTAGTGTATATGTTACCGGCAATGTGTGAAAAGCTGGCACTGTATAGGATGTCTAGGAAATTTACAGAATGTGTGATGTTTCTCTTTTAAGTATATCTATTTTATCATAAAAGGTAAAATACAAAACAGGAAAAACAAATGAAACATGAGAACGAAAGAACGTGTGATGTTTCTCAGCAAAGTATGAAATGTCTGTGTTATTTTAATACACTATATACTTCTCCTAGACATTGTATAGAATATCTAGGTATTATGCAGAATGACAAGAACTATTTAAGCAACGTATAAAAAGAGAGACATGAAAAGGGTTAGAGTTAGCTTAAGCTTAGGTTTAGGCTAACCCTAACTCTAACCCTTTACTGGAAAGACTTATATGAAAATGAAAGAAGTAATGCAAAATGAAGTTTTTTTCTTACTGGGGAAAAAAAGAAGACAAAACGAACAGTATTGACTTACTTGTTGCAACAAGGAAGGCTAGAATGGCATTTTAGCAGGAGTATTTTATATTTTGCCGGTTTGCCTTTTGGCATTGCATAGAATGCCTAGGAAATGTGTGAAATATTAAGCGTTTGATACTTTGATATCCCATTTTTGGCATTCTATAGATTTCCTAGCCATTCTATAAAATGCTTAATTTCACCCATTGACAGTAACGTATACAAGCCACATAATAATGTGAAACGTTTATGATCTTGTGGGGCCCCACTACTAACTGTCCAGGGCTGCAAGCAGACCAAGAGCTACAGGCTGGACAAACCTGCTTTAAACTTGAAGCCTGGTTTTGTTTTTGGAATTAGTCTGCTGAAGATATGAGGATGTTATAATCAGTACTGGGAAGAGTTGCATGTCCATGAGCATACACATTCTCTCATTCTCTCTCTCTCTCTCTCTCTCTCTCACACACACACACACACACACACACACACACAATCACACACACCTACATCCATACACTTAACATAAAAACAATGTTGGAACCACCATGCCATATTTATCTAGGCTAAATTGCAATTGTATGTGGGAATACTCTTACAATTTTTCACTGCCCTTCCGATAATCTGACCAGGCTTTATGTTGCCATTGGGAGAGCCACTGGAATGTGGTGGAGCAATACAATTTTAATAGGCAAAAGTAGCTTTTCTCTAAACCGCCTGCATGATCCTGCTTAATCTGAACATTCTCCTTTGCAATACTGAGCTATTAAGACTAATATAGCTCCTTTCTCTCTGGCTATATGACACTTGTACATGGAGAGCTTCTTTGAAAATATCTTTGATCTCTAAATTGAAAGCTTACACATGGGAGAAGTTTGTGTTTGTGTATGTGTGTATGTATCTGCAATGAAAACTGAGTAGGGGCAACGCTGAGAGAGTGGTTAAAACTCTGCTTATAAAAGCTCATTCTGACTTCTATAAAAATTCAATGCAAGGTGTATTGGGGAAGTTGCATTGCTTCTTATAGATGAGAAAAAAAACTTTCTTTAGGTGAGATTGTTTTCATATGTGTCTATCCCTCTTTTTTTTTGTTTTTTTTGCCTTCCTATTTCTAAGTCTCCAGCACACTCTTAAGCAGCATTCAAGAGGAGAGCATTTATTTGGCCTGTGCTCAGTAACATTTTAAAATGGCACAGGACGAATTGTGGAAAGAATAAAGGATGCCTGGGACTGCTTCTCTAGGTTCTATTCATTTCTCTCCCACGCAAATAATTTGTTGGGGGAAAAAAAAAATCTCGCAAAGTTTTCTTGCAGATTTGCAACCTCCCTCCCCTCCATATCCTTTCAGTCCCCTAAAAGGATAACATTAGCTTGTGAAAATTGTGCAAATTTAGCAGTTAACACTAGAGGCAGAAGGCCAGGGAGTAAGAAAGGAAGAGTAGATTCAAGAGTTCAGTTGTCCAGTCAAGGTGGGAGACGAAGCAAATACAGAAGGAAAAAAAAATGATAAGACTGCCCACCCGCCTGCTATAAGAAAAACATAATGTAGAAACATTGCCCTAGAAGTTAGTGCATGCCCCAACCTTCCATTGCCAGATTTGGGGCAAGCCTTGGTGGGGAAGGGACAGTAGCAGTTCAGCTGGAATTTCTTCCCCCGGCTCTTCTCACACATCTCTTGGGTCTCTCGGGTTCTTTGCCACGTCACTCGCTCCTTTCAAAAAGGTCCTTAAAATTGTTTCAATTTGCTTTGATAATAATGATTTAAAGGATTGTTTGTTTTTCTTCTGTTCAATCGGTGCAAAAGGTTCAAAGACGCAGCAGACTCCGCGCACTGTTTTTGTGCCGAGCCCCAATATATCTTGTGTGTTTTCTGGTTGCTGCAACTTGCTTGCCCCTTCTCTTTTAGCATCCACTGCTAGGAAGTCTGCAACAACAACTCAGCCTTTTCAGCTACTTAGGGCCATTGTGTCAATTGCCTGCTCCAACTTACTTCGCAGCCGTTGTCTTCGGGCCTGTTCATCCTTCTCTAAAGCAGCTAAAATCTGATAAAGGAAAGAGCAGAAAGGAAAGGATTAGTACTAATAAAAAAATCCACTACAATCCAAAATACTTTCCACAAGGAGCTCTCTAACAGGAAAGCCGGCAGGAATCCTCCTTGAACCATCAAAAGACCAATCATGACAACAGTAAGGAGACAGTGGAACACAGTTGTCAGTGGAAAAAAAATATGAAGTGGCTGGTTTCCCAAACATCAAAGATAAGAAGAAACTGGGAGGAAATATTGGATTGTAAACTGGAATTTGATGTTAACAGAAAAAAAGAGTTGGAAGGAACCTTGGAGATCCTTCTTATCCAACCCCCTGCTTAAGCAGAAAACCCTGTACCATTTCAGATAAATGATTGTCCAATCTCTTCTTAAAAACTCCCCCCGTTGCAGCACCCACAACTTCTGGAAGCAAGTCAGTCCACCGATTAGTTGTTCTAACTGTCAGGAAGTTTATCTTTAGTTCTAAGCTGGTCCCCTCTTTGATTAGTTTCCATCCATTGCTTCTTGTCCTGCAATGGATGGAATAGGTTGACTCCCTCTTCTTTGTGGCAGCCTCTCAGATATTGGAACACTGCTATCATGTCACCCCTAGTCCTTCTTTTCATTAAACTAGAAATGCCCAATTCCTGCAACCGTTCTTCATATTTTATCTTCCACCCCTCTAATCATCTTTGTTGCTTTCAAATGAATGGTTTACTTGCCAGATCACTACAAAACATGACAACTAAGAGTAGGAGACATGTTTAACTTGGTTTGTAGTCAGCTGTTCTTTAAAACGGTCAGTATCCTCTCTGTGCAGATTTTCTCTATCAATTTGGGTTTCAAAATGTAGAGGTGAAAAGCAATTTAAGCCATATACTATGAGAGGCAGGAATGTGTAAGCATTCTCTTTCTGTTTATTGGAATGACTATTCTTCTTTATCCCAATCAATAAAAAAAATGGTTTGTGAGCATGAGCTATGCAGATGCTATTGTTATTAAACCAAAGTAGCCAGACAAGGTGGATTGAATCCACCTGAATGTTTTGTCACACTGAGGTACAATAAACCAAGCATTGTATTGACCTGAATCGTAACTCACCCACACAGGCCCAGAAACATAATATGTTTTCTTAAAGACTAAATTTGTCCTGATGTTGAAATTATATGAGAGAATGGTTCTTCATGGACATAAAACTTGATAATTATACAGAACAATGGGATAAATTCCAGGAAAGTCATGGATGTCTTTGAAATTGATAAAGAAACAGTTTCTTTAGCAGTTAAATATTTTGAATAGAAAATTCAAAGGCTTCCCATGAAATCTTTTTAAGTCAATCTTTTGCAGATCCACTTTGTTTTTAAATCCATTACTATTCACAATGAGACATTTTTCAGGTAACCAATATTTTTAAATGTGTCTGTTTAGGTCATCCTGAGCACATTCAATCCAAAGGAGAATTTGAGCCTTATAGTCTCTGTTAAAGAGTGAAACTATATAAGCAGTGAGTGCCTATGTTTGGTTTCTGGGCAAGGCAAGAAAAATTGCTGAAGAATCTAAATTTATTGATCCAATGTAGATTTCATATTCAATTGCAGTCAGATTTGCCTCAATTGACAAAAGAACATATTGCTAATCAAACTACGTTTTAGATTTAGAATACTGGAAAACGGTAATTCTGGAATTTTTCCACCAAAATTTCATTCCATTAAATAGGCTTATACTTCAGTGCCTTTCAGAAAACAAGTCAAGTAATGGAATTTAGCATGCTTAAGGCCTTTTATTGAAGGCACTAGAAAAAAGGACATAATTATGGAATACAGTCAAATTCATATAATAAGCATCTTTCCCACTGAAAGAGCTAAAAATGCATTCTACATTTCAGTTCCGTTCTCAGAATTAGATGAAAACCTTTAGATCACCATTTGTACATATTCTTAGAAAACCATTCTTTAATCAACCACATTAATGAACTGAAGGGGTGGGATGTTGCGAGTGGGCCTTTTGACAGTGAGTGAGAAGGGAAGATTTGGCAGGAAAGGTTTGAGAAAGTGGAGGGATAAAACAGAAATGCCCCCAAACCCCACCTCCCTTTCAACTGCACTGCCAGATTTTTTTTTTTATTTAAAAAAGGATGATTAAAATGCAATCTCATCAGAAATCCCATTATAGTGGTTACATTTGTTGTGAGTGCAAGCTGGATTTTTTCCCCCAATTAAATGTCGAGGCATCCATCAAAAAGAACTCAATTAACCATTTCATTGGCTGCATAATTGGAAACAAACTCTTGTATAATTAATAGGCTGACTATTCGAAAGCAGGAAAGGCCCATCACAAGCCCTACAAGTAATATGGAAATAAGCTCCCTGTGATTAAAAGCAGCTGTGACACCTTTAGGCTTCCCGTATTGCGCATGCAGACATGATGGGGAGCACACATAGCACTGCTACCCAGGGTTTTGGGAAAGGCTGTAATGTCACAAATAAAGGAAGCTACAAAGGTAATGTGCCACAGAGCTGGTACATCCAGGTGGAATCAGATCAAGAAAGAGTCCAATGCCCTGTGGGAAGGTATTCTAAAACTGTTATCCTATGGGAAAATATTTCTTGTGTCTAACTGTGAAAGTTTTCTAAATATGAAAAGTAATCCCTTAGCTTCTTGGGACAAAAATGGTCCAGCTGCAAATCCATATAGTTGCAATCCAGGCCAGACTTTGACTCCCCCCAATGCCTCATCCCTCACCTGAAGCATAGTTCCCAAGCACCTCTAGGTGGTGCTAAAATACTGAATGTCAACCAAAGCAACCAATTAGGTTGCCTGTGTCAAATCTTAGGATCTTAAAGGTGTTGGAGGCCTGAATAGAATGAGAGACTCGCCCAAATCTCCTTTGCTCCTCCTGATTCAAATGGAGACAATCACTAAAGTTTGTGAGATTGGAAAGATTTTATAACCAGCTTTGTGCCTGGTTGTTCTTCTGTGGCACTTCTGGGCACAACAGGATAAAACAGAAAACAGCAGGGGGGACAGGGAGAAAAAGAGAGACACTTGTCTATCACCTGCTCTAAAGACCGCCATGATTAGAGAAGATGCAAAAACCCAAATGAAAATTAATTATGATTTTCATTCAGTGCCAATGACAGCACATTACAGTACTGAGCAATAGGAAAAATTATTCCCTCCCATTTTGCCTCAAAGAGGGTGCAATCGGGCTGCATGTAATTGTGTTTAATGAATGAAAACAAACAAAGGGAACAGCTGCTATTTATTAATCCCATTACAAATCATAAAAGAAGCTCCCGAGAGCTGCAAACACACAGGCAGTACTTTTAGAGCAGACTATAGAGGCACATTCAAAAGATGCCAGACAGTGGTTAACCAAAGGACAAGGATTGGCAACTTCTTTTGCCTGTAGCTCATTAAGGCTGCACTTTCTAACCACGTAGCATTTGCCCAGCTTGCTATTGATTTCTGTTGTTAAGGCCTCGCTTATTTGTAAGAGTAATGAAAGGGAATGTTGGGAGCTGGGAGACTAGCCTCAGGGCAGCAGCTGCTGAGAAAAGGGCTGGAGGAACTGCTCTTTGGGGGTGCTGCTGCCTCTAGCTCCAGTTTTTGTTATTGCCGTTGATCTTATCCAGATGGCAGGTACAGTGCTGAAAAGCTGCAACTGTGCTGGCTGTTAAGTTCCTATTGATGGCCTCCGTGACCTTGTATAATGCTTCACCCTTAAGGCAGGTCGAATTTACGCTTGGGTCTATTCGCACAAAAGGCTTACCTTGGCACTGTTGGTGCATACTTATGTTTCCCAGACCTGGAACCCACTAAACCTTGCCCAACTTAATCAAGATATGATTAAAAGGAAAAATTACAGGAGATTTATTTGCAAGGGAGAGTAATACTTATCTGTCTGGATTCCATTCAAAAGAATGATATTGCATTCCTTGTTTTATTTATTCACTAACATTTATATGCTGTCCATCTCACTATCCAAAGCAACTAGGGGCAGTTTGCAATATAATAAAGACAAATTAAAATTACAAGAGTTAAATAAATAAATTCCTTTCCTGAATGCAATAGTAAGAAAGGGGATCCTTCAGGAAACAGCTTATCCCATCACAACTGGGTGGCAGAGTTCTAAAGCCTTTTTGACTTCTTACTATTGAATGAAACCCTAGAGTGCCACTACTAAGAGGTGTTTTTTTTAAATAGAGGTTTTGATTAATCTACTACTTGGTAATATCTAAAGCCTACCAATGGCCATCAAGAATAAAAAATTGGTCAACTCACAGGGGATCCTCAGGATCACACTGCCTTTTGGGTGGACTCTTGAGGAATGAAAATATCATTCCTCGTGCAACCCCCATTCTTCATTATTAATAGGAGTTATGATAAATGGAGCTTCATATCTATGTGAAAGATGCTTTTCTCTTTTATGCATTGCAACCAGCACATCGGAATGAGTGATTATTAAATTGATATAAATATTTAAAAAATCTGCATTATTATTATTATTCTATTATCCTTCTACTTTCAGTTCAGAAAGAAAAACTGTAGATCTGGATAAAAAAAATCTCATTCATTTGGAATTTCAAATGATTCTGTCTGTATCACTCTGAAAATAATTCTACATCTTTTATCTCTAAGATCTTGTTCATAGCAAATCTAAAATACCTCTAGTAACTGAATCTATTTTACATAAGTAGTGATTATTAATCATTAATATGCAATGCCAACAAAAGACTGGCATGTAAATTTATTTTATGGGATAAAAACAATAAGAAATCGGAATGTTCCCAGTAGCATTACATTATACCAGAGAGGGAACTCTGCTGACTTGAAATAGATCTCTGAACTGCATATTCAAAGAAACTCTGTTCTGCAAAATGCAAGTTGCCACTGAGAGATACAAGAATCCATCTGAAGATCATGTCTACAAAGAAACAGTAATCAGTTTTGCTGACATGTACCATTAATGTTACTCTTTCACCATCCATCCGAATCTGGTGTCATTCAGAAATAATACTTTCAGAATTTCCAATATGTAAAATACTTTATATATGAATAGAATATTTAAACAGAGTAATATTATTCAAAACATAGGTAGGGAACATGTTTTAAAGTGGTCTTACTTAGAATATTAACAAGCGTGTCACGGGCGCTCTTACAAAATGGATGTACAAATGTGCTTTCCTATTCACAAATAATGGGCACATCAATCACACAATAACCATTCTCCAGACTGTGAATAGGTGAGATTGCTCCCTGCCAACCGCTCTAATCCCCTGGGGTGCTCCCTATTACCCCAGTTTTCCTTCCCTTCCTTTTCGCTTCTGCCAGGTGGCCATAGTTTCAGCATAAAGCTGCGACCACCCACCATTTTTATTGTTTAATAATCCTAAACTTTAGTGAAGCTCAAAGATTTTTGGAAATTAAAAATGAGACTGAATTTGGTGGCATGCTAGCTTTCTAATAAAAACCAAATATCTGCAGGTACAAAGGGAGGTGGATATATACATCTTGTATGAAATAACTTATCAAATCAATGACTAAAGATCAGCCAAGGTTCCCCAAAATTTAAACATAGCTATTTGTTATTGGTGATGGTTGGGCTTTCAAGTCTTGGCGACTGCCTGGACTAATCTCTGCAATTTTCTTGGCAACTTTTTTGGAAGTGGTTTGTCACTGCTTTCTTCCCAGAGCTGAGAAAAAGGTCACCAGAGGAACAGAACAGAATAACAGAAGTGGAAGGAGGTCTTCTAGTTTAACCCACTGCTCAAGGAGGAGACCCTATACCATTTCAGACAAATGGCTGTCCAGTCTCTTTTTAAAAGCTTCCAGTGACAGAGCACCCACAACTTTGGAAGGCAAGTCGTTCCACTGGTTTATTGTTCTAACTGTCAGGAAATTTCTCCTTAGTTCTAGGTTGCTTCTCTCCTTCATTAATTTCCACCCATTGCTTCTTGTCCTGCCCTCAGGTGCTTCGGAGAATAGCTTGACTCCCTCTTCTTTGTGGCAACCCCTGAGATATTGGAACACTGCTATCATGTCACCCCTCATCCTTCTCTTCATTAAACTAAATATACCCAATTCCTGCAACTGTTCTTCATATCTTTTAGCCACCAGTCCCCTAATCATCTTTGCTGTTCTTCTCTTCTTTTTTATATTAGGGTGACCAAAACTGGATGCAGTATTCCAAGGGTGGTCTTACCAAGGCCTTATAAAGCAGTACCAACACTTCATGTGATCTTGATTCTATTCCTGTTAATGCACCTGGGATTGCATTGGCTTTTTTGGCAACTGCAGAACACTGTTGGCTGATATTTAAGTGATTGTCCATTAGGACTCCAAGACCCCTCTCACAGTTACTGCTACTGAACAAAGTTTCACCTAATCTGTATGTGTACATTTGATTTTTCTTGCCTAAGTGTAATATCTTACTTTTTTCTCCATTGAATTTCATTTTGTTGGATAGGGCTCAATGTTCAAGTCTGTCAAGATCCTTCTGGATCTTAAACCTATCTTTGGAGCTCCAAAGGTTTGCAAATTTGATGAGTTCCCCTTCTAGACCCTCATCTAAATCATTTATGAAGATTTTGAAGAGTACTGGTCTTAAGACACAACCTCAGGGTACTCCACTGCTTCCTTCCTTCCACAGATTTAGTTCCATTAAGGACTACACGTTGAGTGTAGTTTGTCAACCAGTTACAAATCCATCTGATGGTGATGCTATCTATCCCACATTTTTTTAGCTTACCAGCTGGCTTTTTCCCTAAGATAGGACAAGAACTCACAGTCTCCTGATTTTTTGCCTGGTACCTTAACCACCACAGCAAGCTGGTTTGCTAAACCTAGCTATATGATCATGGATTATTTTTCATTTGTAGGTAGACCTCAACTTGCAACCACAATTGTGTCAGAATCTTTGGTCATTAAACAAAGCAATCATTAAGCGAGATGTCTTGTGATTGCTTCATTCAACAACTTCAATCCTGGTTCTCCCAGTTGTGGTAGTTGTGGGTGACTAAACCGAGTATGGGGTTGCCTTATGGACTACAGGACACATCGGCATGCAGAAATTTGCTATGTGGCAGGAGATCTCAGCTTGGCTACAGAGCCTACTGGAGTGTAGAAATCTCTAAGAAGAGGCCATTTTTTTTTACTAGCTATTAAAGGAACCAAATTTGGAGCCTTGCCCAGATAACATTGCAAAGATGTTTGACAAGGTCTTGTACAAATGCTTTCATTATCTTATATAAGCAACCAATTCCCTTCCCCCAGCTCTCATCATCTTTCTGTTGGGCAATAAAATCCATATAATTCCATTTATACATACATATATATATTTATTAGCATCATATATTTTATTGCTTTAATAAAGGATTGTACAGAATGTGTTCAAAACTACTTTCTGCTGTTTATACCAATTACAGTAGATGGGTTTTTAACCATTCTTAAAACTTTATAGGCTTATGAAGTGGGTTTCTTGTGATAGTAAATACCACCCCCACCTCAAAATTATAAATAAGGTCATTTGAAAGCAGGCTCACTGAAATGACCCAGAATAGCTGACACAGAACACATTCATTTAGAGAATTAAGTGCTTCAGGTTTAAGTGGATAGGTATTTTCTTCTGTCTCTTATTTGATTACTTCATGAGATGTGTTCCCTTCAGTGATTTAATTCCTCCGTTCTTATTGGCCCATTACTTATCTGTTGAGACACTGTTGTGATTTTTTTTCTGTTTTGGAAACATGGTTTTGTCTGTGTTTGTTACTTTAAGCAATTAGTATCAAAATAGGAGAAGAAAATATGAATGACAATGGGCATATAAAAATAACTCGAGGCATATCTAAACTTTAAAAAAGAAACAAAATGTCTTCTCTTTGTAAAGCAAATGCAGGGCTCATAAGAGCTTCAGTAGAAGGTCTTGGTAGGTGACAGCATCTAGCTGGCCTTGGCTTGTAGGGCCTGGTTAATTCTCGGAAAGAGACATCCACAATATCCCAGGATTGTAGGTTATGTGAAATAAAAAGACAACGGAGCTTCTCGAAAACCTACATGCAAAAATCACTAGGATTCGAGAGGGTAATATCATCATCAATATTAATGGAGAGAATTTGGGGGAAAACTACTACTTGACATATGTTCTTATCTCATCCATGTCACGGTTGATAGTTAGGATTAGGGGAGAAAGGGACGTTGAGAAGAATCAATATCTTTGGGAGATCTCAGTACCATTCTAGTATCTCAACAAATGGATAATGGAATCACATCCTCTTAATGATGACTAGCTGTTCAAGAAGACAAACATCCTTTTCAATTTAAAGCGGGACAAAGCCCAGACTGGTTTACCCCACATAATAGAAATGATACGTACACAACTGTGATACTTTGTAAGTAAGTGCCTATATCAACCTTTAATAACTGATTTTGGAATATAATTATTATGCAACATATTTGTGTTCTTTTGTTCAGTGCTTTTGTGTACTACAGATAATTTTTCAAATATAAAAAAATGCAGCTACTTTTATATTTGTATGGAAATGCTTCAGGAGACTGAATAGCGGGTGCTGATTAGCTGGCTATGCAACTATTAAGACATGATATGATGAATTTGCAGTGGAATAAAAGCAGCTCCACTCTGGACTTCTTTTCATGGGTCAAAACAAAGAGGGGAAAAACAGAGATAAATAGTTATATTAAGATACATCTGAGAGCTCCGATATACCTTACCTCATCCTTGTACTTAGTAATGTATGAGTAGATCTCATGCAGGGCACTCATGCTGTTGAATTGGCTCAAGTGTAACCGTGATTGCTCTGCCAAATAGGCGCTCATGTCCTGATCGCTGATTGCTGGCATTTTAGCTATATCTGCATAATATCTATAAGTGAGAAGGAGGAAAATAAATCACACTGTTGAAAATAAAGATGTTCAATAGCAGGTAGGAGACAAACTGAGGATAAATCTAGAAAATACCATAAACGAAATTAACAAGTCTCCAGATTAAATGTAATAAATCTATTCATTACAATGAAGCAATTGTACATAACACATTTAGCCATTTTATAGTGTTCTGCCTGCCAAATGACTCTTCATTTTGTGTTCAAGTAACCAGACTAGCCCTCTTAAGCCCTCACAGACAGAGAACACAGAATCTCCCTTTACATATCTTAAGACTAAGGCGATGAGGCAGGGTGCCTGGTCCAAGATCCTTGTGTGAATTAAAATATTAGGACAGCTTTAAGGAGTTGCTGTGATAAATGGGGGTAAACCTTTTGTTGAGATCTGTTTCCCCCTCTCCTCTCCCCAAACAAGCTTGGATGCAAGGAGCTGAGTGAAAGATCTAATCTTTCTGCAGAAACAGAAATGCTAGGGCTGTCTCAAATAGGGCTTTGGACTGCTTGGTACTGCTATACCTGGCCTACAAACACAAAGCAAAAACACAGAAGGATTACTGAGGGAAAACGACCTGCGGTATAAGATGTCTTGTAGATTCACTATTGGAGATAGACCTTAATTGTTCCAAAATCATGGTGATGCAAGTAAAGCAGAATCACAGATAAGCAGTGGACACTCCTGTGAGGAGAACTTAATGGAGCTCAGCAGAGCAGCAGAAAGTGACATATTTGGAAATTGCGTTTTATAATCCTATATTTATTACAAAGTTTATGACCATCTTATGATTACTGCTGTTATGGAAGAAATGGGTTTCACTTAGGAGAGCGAGATACAAGCCCATTTCTTCCATAACATCAATAATCATTATCAAGCATTTATAGAATAGTTTATAATTTTACATACATCCTACAATGTAAATATGAAACATAAAAGATTCATGTTTTAAAAGTCTAGCCATGTAGGAAAGATCCTAAGGGCAATGTTATCTCTAAAATACCACCATAATGTATAATATCAGCTAATATTAAAAATAGCCAGCTAAGCAAGTAGCAAATAGCATTGAATATCAAGGCCATGAGTGTGCTTCAGAGCCTTCTCTGCTAATCATTAAAGCAGCCCTACTTTCTTCAGGTTCTGCACATTAAAGCAATGTTGCTGCTTTAAGAAACTAATCCATTAAAGTTGTATTAACTTTAAAGGATCAATTCCTTAAAGCAGTTGCACTTTTTTCAAGCTCTCAAAAAAGAGAGCTAATATTTAATGACTAGTACAAAAGTGCTTGCCCAAGATCTAAAGTTTTCGTCCTTATCATTTTCAAAGTGTGCCCAATCTCATTAAATAATGTTTTAGAAAAAAAAATCTTAAGGTGATACAACTTGCTGTATGCAAAAGACAAGATACTGTTCGCATTAAGGCTCACAGTTGAAAATATGGAAAGGACACAAAATAAAGGTTTTGTCCCAGATGTCCTTACCTTGAGATGGTGGGGTAAAAATGGAAGTGCCCCCCTCCCTCTCATAATATTAGTTAACTTTCTGGGTATAGGAGGATCAGGGAGATGACCTTAAAGAAGGAATCTACAGGCCATTAAGAAAACATCAGGTACAGTACAAAATAAACATGGGTTAAGTCCAGAGAGAATGGAAGGGTGTTACAAAGAGATTCAGACTATCCCATCTCTGGTTCCCTAGGGTCTAAGAGGGAAGGAAGGGAAAACCTAGCCAAGATTCTGTTATGAAAGCTTATCACAATGAAATATAATTCTAGCCATCTATGGAGTCAGTTTCCTGGTCTGTCCATCTTGTAGGGCTGACACTGGGTTTGTGTAGTCCACATATTACCATGAATAAACAAGAGCTCTCATAAAAATAATGTTCATAAAATTAATGTAATATTCTTCTCCTTTAATTATTTCTGAATAATAAGTTGTTAAAACAGTTTGAATTAAAGCTCAGTCACAAATGTAATCTCTAAGTCAAGAACCAGGTGTATGGTTTGAATAATTTACCAAAGCTAACTAATGTCTCTCTGTGTGTGTATGTGTGTGCATACACAAACAGACACACAGTCAATTTGTTTAATAAAACAGCTCTACTTATAAATAGAGAGTCTTATTCATCCTGTGTTTCATTATCTGTTGTTTTCATCTTTATTAGCAGCAGTGAAAAAAAACTTCTGGTTTTACCTAAAACATTAGTGGGGTAATGATGTCACTAGCAAATACAATTTTCACATAATAGCACCAGCTACGCTAAGTGCCACTCTTTTCAATGTGCAAGTCTCTACCCCAATACTACACAATAATTAACAAACCAAGCATACTTGAAGTTGATCAGAATCTCCCCGGTAAAACCCCTGAAAACTAAACACTCTTATCTGTATTACTCAACACAATGTGATTGTATTATTTTCAGGTTGGATCTAATCCAGGCTTTAAATTCCATTGGCAAGAGATTTTTCTTTGCTAACCCTCCTGCAAATGGATTGCTTTACCAGTAGAAATATCCTCAAAACACAGTGAAGGTGGAAGGAGAAAGGGGAGGAAGTTATTTTTACTTCTCTGGAGTGCCTCCTTACTCACTACTCCCAAATTCCCCAACCCACCTCCACCAATTCTTAAATGCAATTTTTAGGAGACTGGGATCTGATAATGGTTGCAGGAAGCATCATTCCCTGTCTTGTTTAACCACTGAAAAGTTCAGCTGATAGAAGAAACACTTCATTGGGTTCCCCCCGCCCATTAGACGTTTATGCTGGATCCAACCTAATAGAAATAGCTGCCATTGTGAAATCTATGTGTTCTATCACTTATTCATTAGAAGGGTCTGAGAGGAATTAGCAGTTCTTACAGAAACAATCACTTGCAATTGTTTCCAAGAATCAAATTTTCTCCTCTAACCCAGGGAGGCTCTTTTATAGCAGGTAACCATCCCAATTTTTTTTGTTTTCTTTGTTCCTTTTGCAAAGCTACTTTGTCTAGAGCTGCAATTACTCACCTTTCTACCCAGCTTTTATAGTTAGGGATGTCCTTGGCATACAGTAGTTTATTGGAGGGAGAGTCTTTCCCTAGCTTGTGCTCAGAAGTTGAGCAGGAGTCCATGAATGTCTGAGCCACCACTGATAGGCAGGCATCAGTAATACTGTTCTTATGAATGTCAAACACAAATTGCGGGTTCTTAATCACATTCACCCAAAAACGTAGAGGTAGACTGCAAAGGAGAAGAAAAGAAGACATTATTCTTAGAAGCTTCAAGTAAGGCCCTTGGCAAAAACCTTTACCTGGTTAAAATATATCAACGTAATGGGCAGGGATTTCCCCAAGATCTAAACAGGTGATAATATATATTGTAGCTGTATATGAACATATTTAGGAAAATTTTACACGTGACTATAAATATATAAATAATTTTAAGGGCATTTGGCATTTGAAAAGTAACAGTGAATATGAGAAATATTTGTATCATGATACTTGTTTTAATTATCCAAAATTGCGCCTGGTAAATTCTATTATTTTTGACACAGAATAGAGCATTTGCCAAAAGTCATTCATGCTGACCTTGGGATTTTATCAGTACCTGTCAACATTTCTATCATTTCCATATGCTCTTGTTAAACCCTTTGGAATTACTGTTAAATGTCAGGGTTCACCAAGTTTTCTGCCCTTTATATTCTATATTAGCCCTTGGAGACTAAATTCTATTAAGACATGAGAACTATAATTAAAGGAAAACCAAATACCTTCTTGATCCTTTTCAGCTCAGCATTAATTTATCTCTTAACTAAGGCAACCAGCACAATGCAATTGGCTGTGCTGTTTTTGCAAATTTCCCCTTGTCTATTTTCACAAAACAATGTTATTGAGGTAGAAGGGCTGGATCATAATACTTTTCCTATTATATTGGCTAGGTTGAAAAAAAAAACCCCAAAGTATTGGGAAAACTCAAGCTAATTTAGCGGAAGAAAGTTGGGATGACCAAGTTTCAAAGCACAACACAAAGAATCTCAGGAATACTATCTAATTTTTCACTTCTCACTGGGAAAAAATTCTGTATGTCAGGGAGACTTTTCCCATAACTTCTAGGGGGGGGGGGATTTTTTTGTGTAAAATAATTCCATTGTCTGATCTCACCTATAGCCTGAAATAGCATAAAATCTTAATTATCTTAATGAAAACTAGGCCCTGCTTTTCGTATTTGTCTCAATTGTTAAACTCCCACAAGTCATATACAGTAATCCAGGTGTTGGTCATACCTACATCTTTTAATTTCAGGGAATCATCTCTTGAAATTAACTCTATCCACTGAGTTAACAGTACAAAACAAGCAAAGGCATTAGTATGCCAGAGCCTGCCTGCCTCCCTGGGCTCTGTGGAGTTGCATCATTGGGATTCTTTCCCTACCCCGTTTTTCCTCCCAGAGCAGCTATTTCCTTTAATATAGAAAGCTGAGTGATAAATCAGTTCCAAGTGTTTCCATGCTCTCATAACTCCATTTAAAAAATGTTTCTTTTCCTGCCTTGCTAATTACTGACAGTTACTGAACTACAAAAGCAATTTGGTTGCTATTTAACAAATACCAGAGATCAGAGTGTATATTCCTTTCCCCAGTAACAGTGAAAGGAACTGAGAGATCAAATCAGGAAGGCAGCAGAAGAAGAGAAAGTGTCTGCCGCTTCTTACTATTCACTGAGCACATTAATCCCCAATAGCATGAAATAAATAGCGAGACAGAATTTAAGGCTATGCAAATCAGCATGCAGAGGAGAATAACTTCCCTATCGCATTCGAAGGTAAATGTGGAATACAGTTCACCAGCAAATTGATAACTGGCTATATAAACAAAAATGCTGCATACAAGATTTTTAACTGCTCTCCTGTAGCTGCCGCTTTTATTGTTTATTAAGACTCTGAATCACTTCAGATTCAAAGATAAAGAGGTGCTTTGAAGCGTGCAAAGGTCTGAATGCAGCACCTGTCTGCAGCTCATTTCACGAGCTGCCCTGTTTTCTGGCACAGTGTGTCTGCCCCTCCAAGGCAGCCATGCCACTCCCCCCCCCCCAAAGGTTAGAATTTCTCCAGCACTCTGAACACCTTTTTGCTTTGAATCAGTACTGCTGCGCAGCCCTATTATTTTACTGATCTCTTAATGATTATGTTTCCATTATTGGATCCATATTATTATTCCACATTTTATATTGTGATTTTAGTGATTTATACTTTAATTTAGAAAAAGCTGGTTTTGAGGGGGACTTGGCAAAGCAAGATAATGTCCCATAACATAGACTTACAGAAATTTCATTCTGACAGATCTGTATTTTTTATTTATTTGATTTCTATAACCTTCCATTTCAACAACTGACTTAGGTATAGGCCAGAGGTCCCCAAACCTTTTGGGCACCAGGGACTGGTTCTGTGCAGAAAGTTTTTCCACGGACTGGAGAGTGTGTGGTTTTGTGTGCTGCCTGCATCCCACGGATGGGGATTTGCTTGCTTGTGTGGCCTGGTTGCTGGCATGTCGCAGCTCGGTACCAGTCCACAGACTGGGGGTTGGGGACCCCTGGTATAGGCTATATCATGGGTGTCAAAATTGCAACATCACATAATGTGTCATGACGTATCGCAACTTTTTCCCCATTGCAGGAGCTGGGGTGGGTGCGGTTTCGGCATGACGCATCCGGCCTGTGGGGCCAGCAGTTTGACACCCCTGGGCTATATTGTAGCCTAATATAAATGCCTTTTTAAGTGAGAGTATATGTGAGGCTTCCTCTACACCAGGGAATAGAGTAACATGCATGCTTTTGAGGCTGCACTTTTTATGTGACTGAGATAATTTTTTAAAACTATCTGATCTATTTTCTAAAGAAGCTGAAACTACAGTAGGCTCTACACTCTTTGAAAGAAACATCTTCCTATTAGCTACCCCCAACTTTTCACACACCAGCTGCAGATTAGATAAGAAGCTGGCTTGCAGAAACAAACCATTGATCTACCTAGCTGAATATTTATCTACACAATGACCCATTAGGTATCCACTCTGCCTCAGCTTGACCTTCAGAAGTTGGGAAGAGATCTTGGGACTTTCTGCAGTGCAAGTCATGCACTTTATTGCTGAGCATCTTCTTACCAGTTACTCTTCCAAGTGTGCCTGACATCATAGTCATTGATCTGGTGCTTATCGGCTTGTTCATCCAGGAAGTCAAACATGTACTTGATGGCCAGAGGCAAGGCACTCCCTCGGTGGGCTGTGCTGAAGATAGTCTCAAAAAGGTCATCCACAAACTTCTGCAAAGTTCCCTGGAACAAAAAAAAGAGGACATTTATTCAGCATTGCTTAATATATCATTCGTGTACACAGCAATAGAATGAAGGCATTCTTCTTTTCTTCTCAGAAGGGCTAAAATATCTCACTGGTATTAAAACATGATCTAAAATAAGAAACTGAAGTGTCACCCGTGGATGAAATAAACCCGGCTTTTCATGGGCTATTGTAAAGGAATTTAGAACTGAACCGGGAGAAGGTTTAAAAGGACTATAAAGAGAGGAAGGAGGAAAGACAAAATAGGGGGAGCTTCAATGGCACTTCTGCTGAGTTTTTACCATACCCTGTGGACACCCATGTCATATCCATTCATTTAAAATGGCTTCTATGCCTTGTCCATTCGCTACAAATCTTCAATTTAACAATTTACATGTGGTAGTGATATATGATTTTACAGAGAGCAATCCAAATTATTTCAGAGTTCTATTTCAGTATTCAATTAACTACAGCATCACTGCTTTTTTTCTTCTTCTTTTCATAATAGTTCCAAGCTGGCTTTCCAAGACAGTGATTTTTTATGAGGAAAGATAAGCCTATAATCCTCTCAGTTATCATCTCATGTAGGATCCAGCTACTGAAGTTTGAAAAACATACAACACGTGTAATCAGAATAGTGGTTAAAACTGCAGAAAGATTGTACAGGAGAGAGAAACTGTCACTGCAGACTGCTTTTAATGTCTCTTCGAAGCTGCAAAGGCCACTTTGCTAAGAAATCTTAAATTTTGAAAGTGCTTTCAAAAACTGTGCCTTTCAACAGCCAGAAAATACCTAAAATGTGGATATATTCCTCTCCTTCAGGTTGAGGTAATCCAGGTATCTCCTTGTGAAAAAGGACTGCTTTTAGACTGAGAGAGAGAAAAAAAAATCTATGTTGGAATTCTGAAAGTATTTTGGAGAGAGTGTGAGTCAGTCTCTCTCAAACTCACACATAAAGAATCTGTGCTTTCTGACAGAATGTTCAAATTATGTGTCACCTGTATATTTATAAACCAACCAAATGTGATAAAATTTCTAGATGCCTTGAGTGACAGAAAGAAAAGAAAAGAAAAGAAGAGAAAGAAAGAAAGAAAGAAAGAAAGAAAGAAAGAAAGAAAGAAAGAAAGAAAGAAAGAAAGAAAGAAAGAAAAGCTTTATACTGTTTAATTTTTTTTGCTGCTTGTAGAAGTAGCGAACAATACCCTGGAATGTTCAGGTTATATATATTCTAAAACTGTACAAGTTAAACAATAACAACACAGAAACCAGCATTTTTCTTGCAGATTACTATGATTTATGATTTGGCTGGAATAGATTCAGCTGAGCTGAATTTAGCCCTGCAGTTACCGAGGGATTTTTCAGAATCTGACAACAGAGTATATTTTGATTTGTTCCAATACAAATCTTATACTGACCATTTGATTTACTTCAGGAATCAGTGTAGCAATTATATTGTGAGCAGTTCAGTGTTTGTGTCATAAGCCACTGGATTTTTAATACTCCTTTGCTTGGGTTTTTGCTGATATGGAATACTTGGTAAAATGAGGGTGTCCATCAAGTGCATGAACAATGAAGCTGGAAAAATCAATGATTATAGCACCTAGAGGCAGAATCCCATCTTGCTTTTGGTAATAACTAGGGCAGAATACTCATCTTTGCAGGTTTATTAGGGGGGCGCGGCGGATATAAAAAGGCTAGAAATGGGAGGTGATGAGATCAAAGGAATCAGACTACTCATCACACTAGAAGCAGTCGAATCACCAATCATCACTGTGAATGACTGGCCCAAGATCACCGAGCTGGCTTTTATGGATAATGTGGGACTACAATTCGGTTTCCTGTGTCCTAGCCTGGTACATTAACTAATATTCATCTCCTGATTATGGATCAGGTTTGCTCTAACCCAACAGTGGGAACATGGAATCATAGAACTGGAAGGGACTAATCAAGTTCAATCCTCCGCACACTGCAGGATTCACTACACCACTCCTGATAGATGACTATCCAGATGGCAATTTAGAATCTGGTGCAATGCCTATAATTCAGTATATAAAATATATAAATCAAATTAGGAAAAAGGTGAACAGGATAGAGTTCTGACAACATGTCATGATGAAATGTTAACAAACTTATAGCACTACCCCAATCTTATAGTGGACCTAGGAGCCATTCTGATTTACCTTAGTAGCTAGCAGACGAGTCAAATATATTTCTGAGACCATTTTGCTGCCACGATCACCTTCTCGTTGATCCATGTGATCGTGATTCTTGACCAGATGCCAAAGCTTGGTGCCACTCTCCAGGTCAGGTGTGATCATGGGGGTCCGGGAACGGAGACTGTCAGGACTGCTAGCTGTCCGGAGCATACTCTCTGTGAGGAAACCACATATAATGGCAACTACCTCTCCCTCCTCCGCTGACTCTTGGCCTCTGCTGTCCTCCCTCCACTTCACTTAACTTGCAGCATGGCCTGTCATACCATCAAGAAATATGATATGTTTTGGGCTCCCTGTCAATTAAACTTCATTAACCAAATGGCCCTAGGAATAAAAGAGATCACTGACTTGTTTTTTTTTTTTCATCCAAAGGATCTGATGAATAATGAAGGAAGCTCATTATAGTTTAAAACCTACTGGTAGGTAACCTTCGATTCTAAATAAATGACTCCCCCCCCCACAAACGAAGGCAAATACACATGTCCCATGATAATGTTATAGGATCCAATCTGGGTCAGTGATCAGGACCAGAGGTTTAGTCTGGTTTCAGACTCATGCTGAAGCCCATCCTCAGGGAATTTCTCTCTATCTGAATCTTCCTGAGGATGGGCTGTAGCACAAGTCCAAAAGTTCAGCAGACTGAACTTCTAGTCCTGGTGACCGACCCAGATTGGATCCTGTGACAATTTTTTTCCTCAGCAAAGTAATACTTTTAATGGTTACAATAGACACCTTGCTTCTCTTAATCATGTATCAATAAAGCCCATAAAAGCACAGAGACTTTAAGAAAACACAGTGAAGAAATACACATTTTGGAAGCATAACTAAACTGGATAAAGCAAATTATCAGAAGAGAAGAGAAGAAACAACCAGAGGCAAAAGCCTTAACTGGAAGAAGCTGGTTGAATTACTATAAAATGGGCCTAGGTCAATTTTGTCATGCAAAAGCAAGGAAGTCATTCAAAGAGGCTTGACTGAAACATGGTATCCTTTTTAGTCTGCTTTTTCTTAACTTAGAAAGACTTTCTTTCTTAATTCCCAGATTGCTACTGAATTCTAGATGGTAAACTGGAAAGGATGTTTTTTTCATTTACTCACCATATCTGCTGAGTGATTTTGTGAAAGTAGACGAATTGGAAATGTTGTAGGCAGAGTTCTGCTTGGGCACCAGTGCCACAGATGAACCATCTGTTACCTGTAGAGAGAGAGTATTACCAAAATTAAGACTGAAGATGTTTAGATCCACAACCTCTACCTCTCTCTCTCCAACCAACACTGAGCTCCCTATTGAAGGTAGCTGAAATAACAAGTTTAACTCCCTATTCAGTGGATTCTCAGAGCCCCTTAGAAATTTTGAGAAGATGGACACCACATTCTCTCATAATGTAAACACAAACCTAAGAAAGCTTTCTTTTTCTTCTCAATAAAAAGCCATTTTCCATTCCTTAGGATTCCCAGATCTAACCTGAGTTTTATCTCCTTCAAAATCTGCCTGGCACAAAAAAATAGAAAGCTTTTCAGCTTTGTCTAGAATGTGTTCTTATTTCATTCTTGCTTGGTTAGAGCATATTTATTCAATTGTTTGTAGTGGACAGATCAAAGACAAAGCACACAGAAGAGCATATGGATTCTTCCAGGCCTTGTTGGGAAGGATACAGAGAAAGAGAACAATCTTGCACAAAATTTTAATGCTTCTTTTGTTAAACTTAACAGTTAGAAGCTTTCTTTTTATTCTCTTCAAATGTGTTTCCAAGATGTATAATTTAGTATTCTTGCTTGGTTTTCTTCTTACAAACATTACCAGGCTAGGTAACATCATCTGTGTACTGATGTTGTCTAGCCCGATAATGAAATGTCTGCAAGAAGAAAAGCAAACTCAAAGGACATCAAAAACCTAACAATACAATCCTGAGCTACGTATATTCTCCATTATTTAAGACTCATCACATGTACACAGAATCTAGCCTGGACTTTCATCCTATTATCTCCTGCCAATACTAATTCAATAGTAAAATAAATAACAAGAGCTGTTTGCCATATCCATCTCTCAAATATAAGATAAACATATGTATCTTGTATTCGTATGCCAGGTTTCTTTTGCTACCACTAAGGCAAAAAGTCAAGGACAACCACACCTGGTAATGAGCTAGAGTGTTGAGCCTTTTCCAGTCATTGTCGATCTTTGTGGTGACATCTTCATCTTGAAGAATTATCCGAGCCATCCTGCCCTGCCGCCACTCTGCACCGATGGAAGAGAAGGGCATGGGGTCACTGGGGATCGTGCTCACTTTGGACAGATCACAGAATGAAAGGCATGGAGAGCATGTGAATGAGGCATGGCGCAAGCCATTTTAAAAAGCCACACCCCATCTAAACCCCATTATAGTATTGTTGTAGTTAGAAACAATTATGCTAGGAAAATCTGTTGGGGATCTAACGCCATTTTCTCCTTGGTGACTTGGGCCTCCCGCTCCTAGGAAGAAAGCAATGGCAACTCTGAAGTGATTGCCAAGAAAACTGTGGTTGATGGAAGTGAAAGACTGACTCAAAGACAAACACCCCCCCCGCTCACTCCACAAAACTTCAAATTATTCAACTTCACAACCCATTTGAGGGAATGTTCAAAAATATCTCCAGCTTAATCAACAACCTTCTGCTTTCAATTCTTGTGAACCTTACATATTCAGTGATCCTCAAGCATTGTTATCTCAACTACTGGGATCGTGTCAGCTACCCCCCCCAAAAAAAATATTTGGTTCACTACTCTATTCATATGAGATTACTGTTATCATCATCTCTCAGATATTACATCTTATTTCTTCCTGCTATCATAAAGTTGTTTAAAATGCTAACCTAAAATCAGCAATACATCATAGTAACATTTTTCTTTGAGAATGAAAAATGACATTCCTTGCATACCAAGTAGCATCTGTCTCAAGCAACACATTCTTTTTACCTAGTTTTGACCCACGAAGGTTTCAACTATGAGGGCTTCATTTTTGGAGCAAAAAGTTGTTCAGGTGTGGAATACTGAATCACCTCTTGCCCATTTTTATGTCTTTAGCTTCTCCCAAAAATGGGATTATGGGCTCATTTCTGAGGGAAAGACTTTGGGATGATAAATTTAAAAAAGGAGAATCTCTTCCCAAATTGTGACTCCTTTTTGTTACTGGATCCAGTTTTAAATGACAAGTCTGTTTCTTCACTTGTAGATTAAAGCAAAATTTATCACTGCAGTCAAGGCACCAAACAAATTTACCAAGTTTGGCTAAGCTTCCTGCAAATTCTGCTATATAATGGATCTAGTTTCTATATATTAGCCATTTTAAATTACTATTGTTCTATTCCAATTATTTCTGCTAAGAGCTTGACTAAAAGGATATCATCATCATCATCATCATCATTGCTTGTATTCTATCTGATGACTGAATCACACAAAAGAACATCTATTTCTTATAGGTGATTTATCATTAACATATTTGATCCTTAATTCTTAGAGAGCTTAATTCTATTCACAGTTTGCTAAGAAAATAGTAAGGGTGTGCAAAATGGAAAGAGACCTTTCTAGAGAATTCCAGAATGTTCCATTTTCTTTTGAATAATGGTGACCCTTTTCTAGACAGTACTCTTCTTGGAGATGATTCAGTAGTTTGGAAAGTAAATCCTTCTCTGGTGCAGCATCTGCCTTCTGGAACAGCATCCTTTTCACAATTTGCTTCTCCCTCATTCTACTCGCCTTCAAGAAAGCCCCCAAAACATAACTCATTCTTCAGAGCTTGGCATAGGACCCTCCAGACTGAGGGTGATAGTGGGGATTGTTTGTTCATTGTTCACTCTAATTTTTATATAAAAATTGCTTTTTCAATTTTTCTGTGTGAAGCTGCCCAGAGTCATTTTTGGGGCAGCCTAGAAATTGGATGGATGGAAAAATGAATAAACAAATGATCTTCTAGAAAATCATACCAATTTGTAGCTCTTGCCTACTTGCCTATTCTTCCTAATATAGAGAAGATCCATTTATCAAAATACCATCAAACAAACAAACAAACAAATAACCAACCCTGTCTCTTTTCAGCCTCTGCCTATTCATCTGAGTTATTAGTTTGAAATTGCCATCATGTTTGATAGTTTTAAAATGTTCCCTTAGAACATGCATGGAGATACCTATCAACAAGTATAGAAGGTTATGTGTGAAGACAGCTGTAGGAAAAAGAAAGTAAAATGGCTACACATAGACAAAGACAAGATAGCTTCTGAAGCAGCTACATGAGCCTGGAAAAGCATGCAGCTTCTTTAATGAAGTAAAAAGAATTGTTTTGAAGCATCTTTTCTATTGTAGTTTTATAGCCCTAATGTCATGATCATATGAATCCACTGTTTATCCTAACCACACAAGAAACCATTGCTCACCCAAATCCATGTCTCCTGCTTTGGGTCTTTGGGAATATGGTACTCCTTTGTACACAGCATCCAACAACTTTTCTTTCACTTGTGTGATAGTATCACAATTTAGGACCTTGACTGGAATTTCAGGAGCATTTTCATTCTCAGGGTTCACACAGTTTAGTGTCTAGATAAAAGGAAAGAATAAAAAAGCTTTCTTTCTTTTCAATGATTGCTTAACTTTAAACGTTTTTCATAATGTGAAAACTTGGCTTTGTAGGGCACCATGCAAATTTCAAAAATAAAACAAATATAAATACATTTGTGTACAAGAATGCTCTGCATAACATTATAGCTTTCCTCAGATGAAATGGATGACAGGAAGGGCTGTCATTAAGCTGTCTTGAAACGCATCACTCCACTCTAATTAGGAAGGAACTCTGAGAGAGAAGCTTGTTGCAAAATGTTCTCATTTGAAAATAATAGGGAGAATGATAGCTCAGATATAGATCACCTGGTTGCAGCAGAAAGTTCAAAGTCCAACTTTAAGCATCTCTGAATAGGAGAATCTCCAGTTTAAAAGCCTGAAGTAATGAGTCAACTATACTAGAATACATGGGCCAATGACCCGACTTAATAAAAGGCAGGTGTCTATATCTAGCTATGAATGATGAAAATGCTATTTAAACCTAGCATCTCTATTTGTCATGGTTCATATTCCTGGAGAAGGAAAGAGTATGCTTCTTATAGGTGGCACAAAGGAAGAGGTTTTTTCTTTTGATTTAGGAAGAAAATTAATATTAATATTAGAAAAGAACTCATATTTATACCCCACTAAGTTTTTAAAGAATGCTGTGTGTCTGTATTTTAAAGCCATTTTTTTCTTCTTCCAAGGATTCAGACTATATCTTTAGTACTATGGACTAATCCAATGTTTCTTAAAGTGTTGCCAACTATGGGGATGGTGCTCATCTCCATTTTAAGGCCATTGAGCCAGCGCTGTCTGAAGATGTTTCTCCAGTCATGTGGCCAGCATGATATTGCAGAGTGCTGTTCCCTTTCCCACCATAGTGGCACCTATTTATTTACTAGCATTTGCATGCTTTCAAACTGCTAGATTCCCAGAAACTAGGGTGAGAACAGGAGCTCACCCCATTGTATGGCGCTTGGGTCTCAAACCTGGGCTGCTGGCTTTCCAGCCGACAAGCCCCATGTCTTAACTACTGACCCACCATTTCAGATATAGAACTGCAATGGGATGGACGCTATAATTCAATATCTAAAGAAGCTGAAAAATAATATAACATTAAAATCCCATCAAACCTCACAACGTTAGCAGCAGTAAACATGTTAATTTAATTTTAAATATGGTAAATATCAATAAATATTTGAAAAGAGAAGCTCTTTTGGGGTCCTCCATAATTTTTAAAAATAGGAAGAGGTCCTGAGAGAAAAAAGTTTAAGAAACATTGGACTAATCTATCAAAAGTTTAGAGAATACCAATAAAATTTAGAGAACATTCTCACCTCTCGTTCTATATTACCTCCTTCTATTATTGGTTTTGATGAAGAAACAACTGCCTTGTTACATGTGATTTTTCCCCCTAGCAGAGTATTGTCAGAAGGGCTAACTCAGAGGGCTAGGAATCAATCCTAGTTAAATTCCCACTGGTACTAACCAACATTTTGTAGTCAATTTGTTGCCGGATGAGCTTGTCTTCACTCAGGGAATAGCGGGCTTCTCCAGTGATGGCATCTATAGGCCCCTTCTCCATCTGCTGTTTGATGGCACAATACAACATGAACAGAGGTTCACCAGCACATTCCTGAAGAATGGATGAAGAGAAAGAAGGGCAGTCAATATAATATTATGCTTCATTTCCAAAATATCTTGCATACTGTATGTATCTAGGAGAAATACAGTAGTTGTTATTCTTGTCTCTTAGAAGAATCTGCATCAAAGATTGATTTTTATTAGCCATTATTTAATGCTTCAATTAAATGATTATTTTTACAGCATGCTTGCTGCAGGATAAAAACTATGTACACAGAAATGACTGGGATTGAGCAAGGTCAGGATTTTGTTAATTATTAATTCAATAGTGTATTGCCTCCAAAGGTAGCTCTATTTGCTTTGTTAAGGTTTCTCTTGTTAAGCGCTCATCCAAAATAACAGCTGCTTATTTAGTCTAAACTTCTAAAAAGAAAAAAAATATCTTTACAGTATTTGCAATCTGAAATTCCTGAGTGGACTCTCTCTCTCTCTCTCTCTCTCTCTCTCTCTCTCTCTCTCTCTCTCTCTCTCTCTCTCTCTCTCTCTGTGTGTGTGTGTGTGTGTGTGTGTGTGTGTGTGTGTGTGAGAGAGAGAGAGAGAGAGAGAGAGAGAGAGAGAGATCTCCAAGAAATAATTTACAAAAAGGCAGTGAAAAACTTGTATGTAAACAACAATTTCAAGAATTTCACTGAAGGTCATTGAGCTCCAAGGATTGTAACTTAATAATAGCAGACCAAGCTAGGGATTCAATATTTTAAGTTCAAATGTAGGCCCTTTCAGAAATTTTGTTTTAAGAGATTTAAGTGAAGAGCAATACACAATTATTTGAAGGCTATGATTTCGGTGGCATCTTTATAACTAAAATCCTCAGAGAATCTAGGAAGCATCATTTCTGGCAGAGACTCTATTATTTCTAGGGCTTTGAAGACGGCAGCCCAAACCTGGCCTGGTTTTGAAAGCACATTAAGAGCCTTGCTTCTGAGCCTCTTGAAGAGGCTATAGGTTTTTTAAAAAAGAGCGAAAGAAAGAAATGAAAGAGATATGATTGATTGAATAGTCCCTGAATTTTTTGTATTAGTGTAGGTAGTATACCACACATATTGTAAGCGATACAGATTACACAAGGCATGAATAGGAAATAAGAATTGTGTTAGGACAATGGCAACAGCCCAATCAATCCTCAGCCAATGGGCACCTCTGCCAGTAAAACATATTTATTGCAGCAGCTAGAACTTGCTCCTTAATAAAAGAACAGATGCCATCAGATCATTCTCTATTTTTTCACACTGGGGTTGCAGTCTCTAATTGCAAATAATTAAGGTATGCAGATTTACTTCTAGTTTGTTTCTTAAATGTTTTATTGCTACAAACTTAGAGACAAACTTGCAGCTCCAATATCTTCTCCGAATTTCTCAAATGTGAACTTCCCCACTCCAATATCCTACATTAATCTGTATTTCAATTAAGTTCTGTAAATTTCTTTTATTCCTTAAAAATGTTTTTAGTTGTGCTGCTAGATTCTATATTTGATAGTAATGAGGTCAACAAGACAATCATCTGATGGTTTGAAATAAATGCTTCCTGTTGTTTCCTCTACAGTTCCCTGGTTCATTTCTCTAGGTGTCCTCTACTGTTCTTACTATATAAAGAAGCAAATGCATAATCAACTAGTCAGCTTCCCTGCACTGATAAAAGCAACACAATTTATTCTACTGTGAAAGAGGCAACCTTATCTATGTCCTGCTTTTTAGAAGTGTAAGAAAAATAAAGTATTCGGATTTCAGTTAAAGGAAATGTGCTAGGTCACAGTGCTTAGATGAAAGAAAAAATTAGAAACGTTGAAGGGTGCAGTATTACCAATAAGAGATATTTGACAAGAGGCTGGATTGTTTATGAGAGAAAGAGTAGCAATGAAGAGATGAAAGTTATTAGGCTAAGAGGTAGAGAAAGTATTCAAAGGAGGAAAGGTACTACTCCAAAATTGCTATCTGGGAAGAGAGACATGATCTCCAACATTTATAGATTATTATAGATCAGATCTATAATGCTGATATGCAGTTAATTCCCAAAATATTTCAGTACTTTGAACAGCTCCAAATTATGACATGTTAGGAACCCAGGGACAAAATTCTACATTACCTCTATGGAGTCTCCTCTTATCCCGGTGGCCACCAGCACAATAAATTCTACTTTGGTGCAAAGTGAGCCCGCTCTCTCTGTCACCATATGCTGTTAGCATCTCGTTAGCATCTGCAGTAATTAAAGAGACAGCTGCTAACGAGCAGGAACAGGCATACATCATCCCTAGACCTTCCGACAACACGCCTGTCTTTGAAATTATGTTTCATTTGCAAACTTGGCTTCATTAAGTCTGCTTGGGGAAAAAAATGTGGGTGCTGCGCTGTTTATTAATAACTGTCTTGTCTCCTCGTAATGCACAAGCCAAATGATGACCGTACGTTAACAAGCACACATGGCAATTATGATCCATCCTAGAAAAGTGCTCCCATTTTTAGTCCTTCTCTCTCTCCTTTCAGGTGAAGCCAAAAATATAAGTTTGTTCCCAGGCAGTTTTTGATTGCTCATAAAATGTCTCTGCAAACCGCTCAGCCACAAAAATGCAACACAGGCAGAGGATAAATTGAAGATGGCTCCTTGGTCACATCTCATTTGTCTATTGTGTTTGCCTGGCATATCGTTTTCTACCACTTGCAGTCAGCTGACAAGCCATGCATTGCTTTGGGGCTGCTGTGCCTGCCTTTTCATCAGGGCTGTTTAAAGTGCTCATAAGAACAGGGGATTGCTTGTTCAAAAGCACCTCTGAGGACTAACCCATTTACCATTCTTATTCTAGAGAGGTGTGAGAGATATTATGTGTCATGCAATGGACAATAAAAAGAAAAGTTCTGCAGTTCTTAAAGCTCTGGATTAGTCTGTTAATTACTTTATGTTTGCTAACTGATCTTGGGCTTTTTGACTCTCAGCTGTACTTGGATATGTACCTTCATCAAGCAACAGTGGAAGAACTTTTTTTTTTTTAAGAATTATTAGATTCAGTATTTGTTTGCAGTGAGAAGTGGCAGAATTTGACACAGGTTTACTAAAGAGCAGAGTGGAGTTTCAAACTAACAGGGATTAAGCTATACAAAACCAGACCATTGCATTCACTTAGAAAGCTAATGTGAGCTCAGCAATTCAGTCTTATGCCAAATAATGTATTAGCTAGCCAGCTCTTTGTTATTCATGGATAGCTATCACACACTGATTCCAGATAACCCATTTTGGCATTTAGCTATTTTGATTAGTTTTCCAACATCAAAAAACAGAATTGCTTTGTCTGTTCTAATGAAAGATATACAGACTAAACAGGATAGTTACCAGAATGTATTGCATACCTCACTAAGCCTGTCCATATCAAACTTCCCTGGAGGCCTTTAAGTTGTGTTCATGAATGACAAAACTGGTCCTGGCTTTCTGTTCCAAAGATTAATGTTTTAAGTTCAACTATGCAGAACTGTCAGTAGCTTCAGTGCCTGCTATAGTTTCCAGGGTACCAATTAGGTCATTTTAGATACTGGTTTATATAATCATTTTGGGCATAGCTAACCATAGGCAGCCTTGGGAAAGCCCTGTTTGAAAAACTAGGTATATTTCAACAAACAAACTAAAGCAATAAATAAAGTAGTCCATTCCTCTAGCCAAGCACCATGATAGGAATATAAACCAAACCAAAGGGAGCCCACTAAAGCGCAATTCACTGAGTTTCCCTCCATTTAAATTCTAAATTCTGCTTCAGGCTGCTTAGAGCTCTAAATCCCTCTTTCTTCTTCACACACACTTTCACCACCATCATTTTGTTTAAAAGGAGGAAAAAATACCCTGACATCTTTAGGCAAGCAGCTATGTTTTATAACCACCTCAAACCTTTCTCCCTTTTTCTGAACAGCAGGGATTAAGTGCTGATCAGCAACATTAGAAATAACACTTTATAACTGAAGAGGGAGATAGCGCCCAATATATGTCACAGAGACCACCGCTCAACTCTGTGTTCAGGTATACAGACAGCACTTTCCCCTCCTAGGGTCATAAAAAATTGCTGCTCAATCTTTTAAGGACACAGACCTAAACATTCTATTCTGTCAAATGATTAGGAATGCTCCTCCAGCCAATATAGGAGAAATGTTATAAAATGAGCTCATAGTGTCAAGCTCAGTTCGTCTAGAAGAGGAACCAAAGACTAAAATAAAACGATGAAAAATCCTATGGACAGCTTGCTATCGTGTTTATAATGATGTCTATGCAATGCTGATGATTCCTACCCCAAATACAGTAAGTGTATTTTTTATGGAACAGCCACCTGCCGACCTAATGCCCTTCAGTAGCATAATAAATAGCTACGTTTGTGGGACCTCTGTGAGTTGTAATCCAATATAAATGGAGAGCGCCACGTTGGAGAAAGAAAGAATTAACTGAAACTATAGGAAGCATTGGGATGTATGAGCTTGGCACGTCAATGCCTGTGCATATGCAGAGGCCTGAGGCAGTATAGCTAATACTCAGACAGTGTCTTATTGATGAGATTTAGCTCATCAGGCACCTAATATTGTGCATTTTTCAATGCTCCTCTTTATCTGTTTCGCTTTCCTATTCCCTAGGATGGCTCATTAGGATGCTGATAAATGGCACTAGAGGGCTCAACAAAACCACCAGTCCCAAGACTTGCTGATTTCTTAAAGCTGGCTATCCCCACCTTTTCTGCAGCAGACAGCTAAATGGGAAAAGGGGGAGAGAAGAAAAGTATGTCTTTCTCATCTCTCAGTGGGATTGAATCAATGTATTATTTTGGCAAGCTAGCTTTTCTCTGTGTCACAGGACTGGACGTGTTATTATATAGTGGTCACAAGGGACTATATAATCCCATGTGACCTACAGAGTTATACCTTTGGGAATATTTTTTTTTTCCATTTGATGACAGAACAGCCAGCAAGAGTATAAATACAAATTTACCCCGTGGCATCTGTATTAAAAGTCAGAGAGCTTTTTAGAAAGCCTTCCTTGGCACTGCTGTTCTGATCATCAATCATTGTTCTCTCAAAGACATGGACCCTCCTGAAGATCAGAGCGCTCTCAGCATCCCCCAGTGACACGTTTTCATGAAAATCTGCTGTATACGTGAAAATATATTTTTACTTGCTTGATTTGCCTGCACAGGTTTGGGCTAAGAGATTATAAAGCAAAACCTGCTGACATTCTGCTTGCTGGCAAAGCCTTTTCTAAATATCTTAACTATACCTTCTTATTTGACAAATATTTGCCATATTCGCCCACTAAAACCTCTCAGAGGAGAAAAAAGAGAGAAAGGAAATAAGGTGGGTCTTTTTTTTTCTTAATATATCAGAAAGCTGACTGGCAAGACAAGTTTGCCTAACATTTTAAATGAGGCATATGTTCTCAAGTCTTGTGAGATCCTTTTTACTTTTCCCTCTTTTTTACACCATAAAACCTGTAACACACTTTTATTATGTCTCTGTAAGCTCCCCCACTGTTATTGCATGGATCTTTTCTCCAGACATTAGTTTATGAGTGCTGTTGTTTGCAAACATTACTCTTTTCTACTGAAAATCCTCAGGCATATAGGGTGTAAAGATGACAACAGGTGATGTATTAGGAAAGCTGGCCCATTTTTGACCAATCTGATTTTTGTTTCTTTCTTTTAACTGTCTGGTTTACTATAGCTCCCAGGAGTAGCAGCAACATGACTGATAGCCTCACGATGGTGAAGTGGGCTTTGGAACTTGACAACTGCAATCAGGGGAAATCTGTGAGAAATTCACAACTTGGAAATACAGTTTACTATTTCAAGAGTTTGGTGGATCGGGATGCATTTGAAAGAAGTGGGGATGTATCATTATTCTTAAAACAAAACAAAACCAGACCAGCTCTTGGAACATTCCACGAACAGTTTGAGGCATATTTTCCAGACTGCACTATATTTCATTCTCTTTCGTTTGAATCCTATGCTGAAGCACAGCATGGAATAAATTGTAAGTCATGACCGTATTTATGGTTTCTACATTTAATATACAAAGTATGGTAACAGCACACTTGTGACAAATCTACTAGCTAAACAATTTCTCCCTTACAGGAGAAGTAAAACATACCATCAGCTTCAGACAGTACATATAACTGAGAATTTGCTGTAGTTGTACTAGCAGAGTAATATAAACAAGTTTCTGGGTTTTGTTTTTTGCTAAGTTTCCATCCATCCTTTGTGCAAATACTTATGTTCCATGACTTCACCACCATGGATCAAACAAGTTAGTCCCTTAACTTGGTTCCTGCCAAATATTATACTGTGTAAAAACCCAGCCAGAATAAAATAAATTGTGTAGTTATACTGGAATAACTTAAAACAACAATATTAGAAAAAAATGTTTAAAGAGATGCAAAAGTCTGTTGTTCTTAGGTCTTTGCTAATTGTTATACATTGTAGAGCAATGATATACTTTCATGGAAACAGGGTGCCCCTAGACCAGTGATGGCGAACCTTTTAGAGACCGAATGCCCAAAAACTGGCCCCGCCCCACTCTGCCCCCTGCCCCGCCCCCGCCCCGCCCCCACCCCGCCTGCCCATAGGGCCACTCACCACCTCCCAGGCCCGCCACAGATCGCCCAGCAGCGCCATGGCGGCCACACCTTCTGCCCGCGCCCCGCAGCATCAACTGTGCACGATGGGACGTGAGGGCAGAGTCTTGTTTACTCTGTCTGGCTGCCATGTCCTTGGCTGCACTGCTCCGTGTGGGCCATGCTCGGGGGCGACTCTCCTCCAGGGGGGCTGCTGGTGAGGGGGTCGCGGGGGAGGCAAGGCTGGGGCAACGGCATGTGTGCCCACAGAGAGGGCTCCGAGTGCCGCCTCTGGCACCCGTGCCATAGGTTCGCCACCACTGCCCTAGACAGAAGCAAGGTGTGGAAAGCCTGTAACCAATGATGATTGCTTTCCGTCTGCATGGCTTTCTTTATTTTAACAAGGGATGGTATTCTTCAAAAAGCAGCTTTGCTCTGTGCCATAGCAACTCACTGAGTAAAACTCTGGCAAAACCCTATTATTTAGACATCCCTTTTGATGTATAGATCTGTAACTGCCATTAACCTGGTATTCCTTCTGTGCCCCAAAATTCCTTTAACACACCATGTGCTCCAAAACTATAGTTTTAAGTTCATCTGTGATACAGCAGTTCAAGGCTTTAGTTCAGGCAATATTGAAAACATTCCCTTTGCTGAAAGAATCTGAATTTTATTCATGCCTATTGATTTTGCTAGGGAAAACTGAACCAATGGGAAATATTACATCACAGAATAATGACATGTTAAGTGATTATCAAAAGAAAAACACCTATCAGCTGAACCCCAATATTAACATAAGAACCCTGTAAATTATTATTATATTTGGGTTCCACAGTTTCTTGGGAGATGGGTATGGTGGAATGCAGTCTGAATTCCCAGGAGGGAGGGGCTGCATTCTAGAGAAACAAGTGATAGCAAAGTTTAGATAGTTTGGTTGGGAGGAAGTTTTCAGAGTATATCTTTAATTATGCATGTTGTTTTAGTTTGACAAATTTTCTGTCTGAAGGCGATGAACAATAATGAAAACTGTTTTGAAATAACTCTACGTGTCCTTTTTGGTTTTGGGGAGGGGAGATGACAGGGTATTCCTTTTTTCTTGAATTCAATATCTATTTTGCCCAAATAACTTCTCAGTAGCTCTCTTCTCCATGTGTATTTAACCTGATATATTCATCAATGCCTCAGATGGATTCTAAACAATCCACACCTTTGCACCAACCAATTTATTATAAGGATTAAAAAAGGTGGCAAAATGGAGTGTTTTTATCAAAACAGGACCTTAGCATTGCACCTTCCTCCATTATTCCTAGTGAAAGGATTTTAAAATAATACACTGAACATTTGTGAGATTTATAACATTAGGGTTAATAACAAAAGGTTTTAGTAAGGGATGAAAAACAGCTCAGCATTGTTATTCTTATTTTACAGAAAATGAAATCTCAACTGGACTTAATGTAGTACCAGCCCTCCAAACTCTGAGGGTGAATTCTTGATTCACAACATATACACTGTCAACCCCCAACAGATAAAAGATTCTGAGTGCCTCAGTCCTTCTCCCTGACACTCTTAGTGTGGTTCACACAATGTAGCATACTTACCTTTAGGAACTTATACAGAAGGAATGTGAACCAGTTGGTCAGCATTTTTTCAGCCACCGACTCAGTCCTGTAAGAAAAGTAGAAAATAAATATGATGACAGGAAAATTCAGAATTCTCTGATCTCCCTTGAAATCTTAAAACTTTTATTTATCTTAAAGACTTAAACGGTCAAATTGTGAAAGGCAATAACTTTAAAACAAAAAGGAATGCTGAGATTATTATGTAAAATTAAAATATAATCTTAATAATAGCCAATTCCAGTTTAGCTCCATTCAGCCATTCCAGTGAAAAGAAATCCTCTATAAGCTATACATTATTCGGATTAAAAAAGTTCCAGTCTACCATCATCAGATCTTCAGAGTAATATAGAGTATCTGAGAGAATCCACAGAATGTTCTAATTCAGAACACAATTTATGCATCTTATCAATTCATTAGAAATAGAAAGCAGAGATGAAGGAAGTCACATTTAAAAGTTTTTGTTATAAATTCTACACACTTACACCCAGTTAACAATTATAAGAAAAGGTAGTTAGCTGCAGAATGCAGACAAATCCTGAAGAAATTTAAAACTCTTTTGTATATCAGTGAATTATCTCTGTTGGAAAGAACTCTGTAAAAGCCACAAATAAGGCTATTAATGTCAATGTTAATGCTATAAGACAGCAACCACTTACTTTAAGTATCATGGGATGGTCTACCCAGTGGTTACTAAGAGGAACCTTCCACCCAGAATACAACACTAATCACTGAAGGCAAGTATAAATATGAAATAGTAATGAAAGATGGGAGGAATTCCTCCAGTTCTCAAAATCCATCTTTGTTTCTTAGAAACAATCAAAGGACTTAAATCAATTTGCAAAACCCAGATGGGTTCTTGCCCTTTACCATTGGGGGAAAAAATCAAATAGAGACATCCAAAAGGGTTAAAAAGCTCATGTGGCATCAAGTGAGTTAAGAAGCTTAAGTGTTTACAACAGAGATATGAATATGTCTCTGTTGTAAACATTAAGATTAACATATTTATCAAACATTTAAACTATGCACATTTATTCAGCATGAAAAAATGCAGGTGGTTCTGATTGAAATTATTTATACTTTTTTTTGACTGCTCCATCTATTAATCATCAGATCAGCTATTTCATATTCAAATGATCATGAAAGCACAAGCAACACTAATGACCTCAAGAAGGTAACCGCTTTTTCATTGCTACGAGGAAACAGGTAGAGAGTGTTATTGAAAATAACAAAACCACAACAATCTAAATTCCAATTATCTAAGTCTAGAAGCTACATGGATTCTGAGTAAGTCTACACAACACAAAGGACTATCAGGCAGAAAGAAGCAGTTAACTAGCACAGATTGTTCTGAACAGAACAGGACCATGGAAAATGTTATTTCCTGACTACCTTCTGCCTTGACCAAATGAAGATGATGTCTCCACATTTGGCTTTCTGCTCATTGTATCTCTCTTTTACTTTCCTCACAAAAATAGGCCTGGTATGTTGTGACAAGGGTAAGAGTGGAAATTGTTGGATTTAAACTAAAACACAAATGACCTAAGTTCTAGTTCCCAACTAGTAGATATTCTAAATAAATCCCTCTCCTTCCCTTCTGGTATGCAGCCTGGATATAAGATAAAGAATGACAGCTTGCATTCAGCATGATAGAAACACTAGTGTGGAAAAAATGTGTGTCCCTTAAAAAGGGGGAGAAGGGGAGAAGTCTGAAATATAAAACAGATAGTTCTATAATTCCAATTGTTGGAATAAACTTGGCTCTGAGTAAAAATAACAATATTCAGGTTTCTGCTGTTGTTCTGAGATGGCTTTCTGTACTCAAGGCTTAATTACTAGATGGCCATATGTTCACAGGACTACATTTTATAATACAGATTTCATAGAACATGAGTGTTAAGGCTGTAAAGGCAAAGTTTCCTCTGCAGGAAGTGATATAGGGAAAGATTATAAGATCAGGACTAGGGAAATAAACTTTATGAATGATACTATACATACATACACAAACTACATTATTTATTTATATATCAACTCTGTCTAGCTTCCCATCTCACCAAAAGCAACTCTGGGCAGCACATAAGAATAACAATACCATCTAAATTCACAATGTAGGCTTACTTTACACATTATATTTAGGAGGCATATACTGTTTACAGACTTAAGAAAGGATAATATAGCTGATTATATCTAGAAGCCAGAATTCACTGAGGTTTCCTCACTGAATAAAAGAATAATTTGTCCCAATGTAATAGTACAAGAAACGGTACCAAGTTCCAAAAGAAATCCTTTTAACATATGTCCACTACATGTTCATGTTAAAAACCTGATGGGCCAGAACAGACAGAGGAAGAAGAATACATTATTGACATGTACTCATTTTCCACCCGTGTTGAGATAATACTCAGGAAAATCTTGTTTTATTCTGAAACAATCACTTGTTAGAGGTTGAAGAAGTAACCTTGAAGAAACAATTGGGAAGGAATAACACGGCGAAGAGAGAGGTCTGGTGCACTTCTATGCAGAAAGAGGATATGTCCCTTTTGAGCCTGCAGAATAATAATGCCTTGCTCCCTACCATCAGAAACAAATACTACTGAAAGACAGTAACTTTGCAGTAGACATTATTTGTGATGAACTAATCCACTCTGGATTTAGAGACATTTATAAAAACACAATATCTATGTGACACAATATGGGTAACCCTCACAAATTTAAAAAAAAAAATAAAGAAAGGAAATAAATTGAAAGAAGGAAGAAAAAGAGAGCAAATTGCAAAGTGCTCTATTCTTTTTCATTGCCTTCTGTTGAGTTTAAAAAAAACCCCTCAAATGCTAATAAACAAGACACAGCAGTAAGCCGCTACTACAAATCAAGCATACATTTGTCCTTTCAATGCTGTACAATCATTCCTATGGTCATTTCCAAAGTCTTTTAAAGCTTTTTCTTTTCTTTTCATTTTTACATCACATTATCATGATTACACATAGAAACATATTATTTGTTTAATAAAGCATAGAATTGCCGTATTTTTTGTGTATAAGACGCTATTTTTTCCTGCAAACACCCTGTTCAAAAATCAAGTGCGTCTTATACAAGTCCAGTGTCATATACACGGAAAAATAATGGTAACCTCCACAGCCTAGGGCATGCCTGTGTGGGTTGCCATGCCGCCTGGTGGGCTTGCCACTATCAGGAGGGGGCAAGATTGTCGGCCTGCCGAACTTCCGGATTTGCCAGCTCAGCTGGTGCTCAACCGAACAGCTGATCGGCATGGAGAAACTGGCATGCCAGAGCGTGTTATATAAGGGTGTGTCTTATAGATGGAAAAATACAGTATTCTACAGAGAATGCTAATAGAATGAATGTTGTTGAAAATAGTGTATAATGTGGAGTTCTACATTAAAGTTTCATTTAAAAAAGATGCTGACACATACTGTACAAGTGTCTGTCCTCACATTTAACAGAAATTTGGTATCTCTGTCTACTGAAACAAACATTTCCTCCAATCTGTTTGTCACCTTGTTTTGATATCTGACTTACAAAGATATGAAAATATTCTAGCTTCTAAGTCCTTCCACTCATAAATGTTCAAACTCATAAATGAAATACTAAAGGCCAAAAAGACTCCCCTACTTGCTCAGTTTCATGAATATTCCATCTAATAGTGATCACTCTGTTTTTGAGAAATGCTCAGATATGGAAATAGCTATTTATGGGGCACAGTTCTATTATTTTAGTGCTAAATCTATGGTCAGAATTTTTAAAAAACACAAAATAAAAGGCAATACCCTGACGTCAGCAAAAGTCCACACAAATCCTTTTACTATACAAATGCTCACCTCCTCAAAAGCAATTTGGGATGGTTCTTGCTCTCCAAATTCTTTTCAATCAGATCTGAGAGAAGCTGTTTCAGCACTCCAGTGGCATATTCCATCTCACCCTGTAGGGCTGTCATAATTAAAGATGCCACATTACCCCTGTCACGCATGGAGAAGCTACGTTGGGCCTCCAAGGTTCGAATAAAAGTTAACAGGAAGTGCTTTTTGTTCAAGAGCTGCCCAAAGAGTGTCAAAGACTTCTCCACATTGGCCTGGACCTGAGGAAGAGAAAATACGGTTGCAGTTACCTCAGAGTATTTTAACAATACAGAGAGATTAGGAAAGTCAGGTACAGAATCAGGTGAGACATTGGACATGGAATCATGGGGTTTAGCCAACAAATCACTTTTTAATGTTTGTTTCTAATTATATGTGAATATGTCTTCTCTTTGTAGAAGTTTCATTCCAAACCTCATAATTTAGTGCATACAACAAGAATATGAAATCCTTTAAATCCTTTGCAGCTATGTCTTCCCAGTACTCAGTGAATCCCCTTTTTTTTCAAATACTTCATTATTTAAGAAGTTCACACTGTGTACATATAACACTTTCTCCCTTAATGTTGTTAATTCATTAAAAGCAGCCTATTCTAGAAATTCACTTATTGAACAGATATTCTCAAAGACTACATACATGAAATATATGTAATTTACAATTTTACTTGTAAGATTTATTTCAAATTTTCTCCAAATTTTGAGACCATGAATCAACTGATCTTGTTTGCAAATAATACTGGAATAGATCTCTCTTTTGTCTGTTTATTGCTCAGTCCACTGAGCCTGGGCATTTGTTCATGGAAAAAACACAAACATTCAGGAAAGTGTCAGTAAAAATGATAATTTGAGTGCCGGAAAACATCAGAATTCCTTTCTCTCCTGTTTTTTAATGCATTTGTGCACTTGTGTGCATACAAAATGTGAATAATAAAAAAAGGCAACCCAGGGCATGAATATCAGTTTGGAGAGTCATTTAATAATGGTTAAATTCAGAAGTTTTCTCTACTTTTTCTACGTTTTTCTCCTATTGCTCCAAATCTGATTCAAATTCTAGCCCATCCATTCACTAAACATAATATTGAAAGAAAATGATATGCTCACAGTTCTCTTGTCTTGTCTTGTCTGTTATCACATCAAATTTATTGAAACAAACGAAGCTACTGTCTTACCAATCTGAGCCTATGGAACTGAAGTAGCAAAATTCAATAGCTGAGAGAAGACTCTGATCCAGATAAGCAATTTATGAAGGTTGTATCGGTGGTTCCCATGTAATGACAGCAATTGGGCCAGTAATTCCATCACTAAGCAATCGTTAAGTGAAACATCATGTGACCAATGTCTTACGACATTGCTTCGACTGCAAATACTAAGAGAATCATCTGCAGTCATTAAGTGTGACATCAGATGATTGGGACTTGTGTGTTACTGTCAGCTTCCCAGCTTCCCTCTGACTTGGTTGGAAGCTGTCTGTGAAGGTCGCAAATGACAATTACATGACTGTGGGACACTGCAACTGTCATAAATGTGTGCTGGTTGCCAGGCACCCAAATTGCAATTATGTAACTATATGAGGATGCTGTAATTATCATAAGTTCAAGCACTGGCCATAAACCTACTTCTTCAGCACTGTCATGAGTTGAACGGCTACTAAACAGGACAATTGTATCTATATTTGGTTTTCTACAGAGATCAATTCAAGGAAGAGGTCTGAGTGCAGCCATAGACCAATTTATTATTAAAATACTGTATTTTCATAGGCATTGCAGATTCCTTGCAGTGTAATCAGTGTATAAACAGAGACATAGAATGAAGATCGCATGAAGTATTAGTACCGCTTTATAAAACCCTAGTAAGACCACACCTGGAATACTGCAGCCGATTTTGGTCACCATATCACAAAAAAGATGATCAAAGGCCTGGAGACTAAAACATATGAAGAGGCAGGACAAGAAGCAACGGGTGGAAACTAATCAAGGAGAGAAGCAATCTAGAACTAAGGAGAAACTTCCTGACAGTGAGAACAGTTAACCAGTGGAACAACCTGCCTCCAGAAGCAGTGAATGCGCCAACAGTGGAAGTTTTTAAGAAGAGACTGGACAGCCATTTGTCTGAAATGGTATAGGGTTTCCTGCCTGAGCAGGGGTTGGACTAGATGACCTTCAAGGTCCCTTCCAACTTTACTATTATTATTATTATTATTATTATTATTATTATTATTATTATTATTATTATTATTATTATTATTATTATTAACGGCTGCGGGACTTGGGTTTGGCTAGTCTAAAGAAAAGAAGAAATAGGGGAGACATGATAGCAGTATTCCAATATTTGAGGGACTGCCACAAAGAAGAGGGGGTCATGTTATTCACTAGAGCATCAGAGGGCAGGACGAGAAACAATGGTTGAAAACTGATCAAAGAGAGAAGTAGCCTGGAATTAAGGAGAAACTTCCTAACAGTGAGGATAATTAAGCAGTGGAACAGCTTGCCTTCAGAAATCGTGGGCGCTCTGTCACTGGAGGTTTTTAAGAAGAGACACTAGACAATCACCTACCTGAGATGGTATAGGTTCTCCTGCTTGAACAGGGGACTGGACTAGAAGACCTCCAAGGTCCCTTCTAGATTCTATTCTATTCTGTTCTGTTCTGTTCTGTTCTGTTCTGTTCTGTTCTGCTCTGCTCTGCTCTACTCTATTCTCTATTCTCTATTTTGCTAGGACCACAGAAAATATAGAATTTATTAATGATATCTGATCAACATCAGCATATTTGTCACAGTAACTTTAAAGCTAGGAACATACAGAAAAAATTAACTACTTTATAAAAAATGATAACTCTTCTTTTAACATTTACAATACATTATTTGCAGTGTACAATTTTCAAGAAACTACATGATTTTTTTTAATCTCTTACCTTTTATATTTACATACCATCAGATTTTAAAATTTTATCCAACAAGAATCCTGTCTCCATCCCTAAATGGGAATTGCCAAAACATTTGATTTGACCCGGGACTAATTGCCAGATTCCTCCTGGCTAAATCTGAGCATAGCAAACAACCCTAAGGAAATTTTGATCTTTTGACTTTCTACACATGGCTGTAAATGTTACCGTCTGTCCCTGAGATTTAGCAATGGAATTGGGTCATATGGTCCATCTAAGCATGAAACAGAAAATAAATTACTAAATATGACCAGGACATCTGATCTATAGGGACTCAAGCGGAGAAATATTTCTATTTAGCTACAGTTGTGCTCTACCTGGTGCCTCAGTTCCATACTTATACTCAGGAAACATCTGAACAGAGGCAGGAAAGACCTTGTAGCATTTGAGGCTGCTGACACACTATTCAATCTCCATATTTTTCCAGGCAAACAGGTAACTAAAACTAAACACCTTCAAGACAAATGCCCACCTTCCTCTTGTAAAATAAGTATTTCAGGCAAAGGTTTTTCATTTCATTATTCTGAAAAGAGCTTTGTACTGATGGCAAAATATGAATAATAAATGAAAATTAAATAGATTTATATCTCATGTTTATTATTACAGCTCTTGTGGCTATCAAAAGCACAGGGCAAGTACTGTATATCTCCTGAATAGTATATAGAATATGGATTACACATTTGTACTGGTATTTCTTAAAAATAAGTTTGCACATATGAAAATATTATCTTCAATCAAGATTGTTCACCAGCCATTACCAACGGTTATTACTGCCAACCAATTGCTTGCAATTGAGGATACAGAGATTTGCTTAATGGCCAAGAAAATTGCATGAAAACGTAAGATCCAATTGGCAATAGTTTGATAATTTGAGGACAATTCAAATATTTTTTAAAAAATTAGGATTTCAGATTGGACAAAGCAGTTGTACTTCTAGGGAATTTTCGACAAGCCCTTCCCCTGCATTTACCTTAAGAAGTGAGATTCAGAACCCAAATAAAGGATACTTGCAAGACAATCTCTTCTTCTGAATGTCCAACTTGCTCCTCAGAATCTAAGCTCTCCTAGGGGATGAGTATTAGATTCAGACCAAGCCTGACTCCTGTCCCAAATGGGACACACTTCAGAGATTCTACTCTCTACAGGTCTCTGAGTTCAAAGCTGAGCCAAAAAAGTGACTGAAGAAGAGGCACGAAGTGGAAAGTAATATCATTTGGGAGTTGGTGGTCACTGTTATTGGCTTCTGAAATCCACTCCATTTATCCAGGAAAAAAAATTAATTGTTTTCTGTAATGCCTACTAATGTCACATCATATAATACTGTATTCCCCAAGTCTCATTCTCTTGCATCTGAATTATAAATTATCTTGATTTTTATATGTGCCCTATGTTACTAATTAGATACATCATTTCCCTTTGGCCATTCTCCCTGCCTTTTGTCCTGGCTAGCATACCCTGGTTTTCATGTACTTGATCTACTTGGTCAGAAACTGTTAAATTGTTGGTAGTGCTGGGGGGAAAAGACTCCAATTCATGACACAAAACAACGGTAGTTATTTTTGTCCTCTGTGACATGTTCGTAAAAATTTGAATTTACATTTATCAATTATAGCGGGAACCCGCTGCATGGAGAAGCACTTGTGCAAAATTGTTTTAATATCATTAACACAAAGCAAAAGGTGGGAGATTCTCTCTATCTGTACAGTCACACAAAAGCAGCTGTTTTCAACAACATAGTTGCTACAGAAAGGAACCCATTACACAGGGTACTAACCCACCCATATGTTGCCAGTGTTTGTGTGTGTCCATGTGCTTGTGCGTGTATGCGTGTAAATAAGCATATTTATTTAGATTAAACTAATTCTGTCTCCACAATGTTTATGCCATGTTCTTGAGGCACTTCAAGGCAGGACCATTTTTATTCCCCAATCCTTCTAAACCACAGTTGGGAAATGTGAGATGGTCCTGGAATAATAGAAAAGAAAAATGTCCTTATAGATGCCCCCCCACACACACACATTCTTTGATCCTTTAGAGAAGAGAAGGAGAAGAAGGAGCAACGTTGCTTATTTCATCCCAGCAGCTTTGGTTATTGTAGATGGGAAAACAGTTGCAAAGAACGGAAAAAGACAATACAGTCCAGATCTATTCTAGGGTTATAAAGTGGGTTGTATTTTACCTCAGGATATAATGCAAAACACAAAACCTTGTGTGGTCACTGTAAAGGGGGAATTGTGAAACTGTCAAATCATCTTCTGGGACTAAACTGATATGCCAGTGG